TGTTTGTGTTTGTGTTTGTGTTTGTGTTTGTGTGTGTGTGTGTGTGTGTGTGTGTGTGTGTGTGTGTGTGTGTGTGTGTGTGTGTGCGAGTGTGTGTGTGTGTGTGTGTGTGTGTTGTGTTCCCCCCCCGAGGGTTTTCGAAGGTTGTCCGTGTCCTCGCTGTTTCGTGTTTCCGACGGTCCGAGACAGCTCGCGAGGCCCCAGAAATCAGCTCAAGACGGCTCAAGACGCCCCCACAGAAGGCGCCACGACGGCGCAAGAGAATCCCAAGACGGCCCAAGAGTGCCCCAGAACGGCCCAAGAGGCGCCCGAGATCGCACAAGATGGCTCCAAGATGGCCCCAAGGAATTCGTGGGAGGTTTCCCGGGGGCCTCTTGAAAACAGTTTTGGGTGCCTTTGGGGAGCCGTTTGGGGTGCTTTGGGGGCGTTTTCTAGGGCCTCTTCGGGGCCCCGTGGGGCCTCTAGGGGGCCTTTGGGGCTCTGTTGGGGGCCTCTTGGGGCCTCCTGTAGGCCTCTTGGGGCGGAAGGCTCGGTTCGTGTTCCCCCTTTTGGGCCGAACTTCCAAGAGGCCCTTTAACCCACGACCCAGTCTCTCGCCATGAAGCAAGCGGGTCCTCAGGGAAACGAATCTTGAAGTTGGTCGCCGCTGCTAGCTTCCAGGGGCCCCCCAGGGCCCCGAATCCGCCAACGAATAATTCAGGATGGCGAAATGTGATTGGTGGATATATGGTCTATAGCTTATCATGTTGCATGTTCGTTTGCTTCGTAGGGACACTGCCTCAGCCACGCGTTTGTCCAAGTGTACTGGCCGTGATAAAGCCACGGCTATGCGGTGGCGACAGCACCTATGAATTCAGCATGTGGTTTAGACGGCTCTCGTGGTGGTGGCGCGCTGCCGCCAGCATGTTCTGACGGCGTGGCTTACTGCGCGAACCCGGTCATTGGTAGCACATTGCTCCAGGCACAGATATGCGCTCCGATGAGACAGAAAGCTGCGCAAACGAAACCATAATAATGTACCTCGAAACATACTGGCGCATAGCACAGGACCGCCTAGCCGATCGTGTCATCGCACTGTTGCATGACATGGCATGGCACAGCACGACAGAGTTAACCGTGCCAGCGCATACCACAGTATGGCTCAGCTTGCCATAGCATTGCGTTCCACAGCAGTGTCCAGCTGATCCTAGCACTGCACGTGATGACGTAACATTGCCTAGCATGGCATTGCATATCATGACACATCGTGGCGTACTATGGCATTCGAATGCACGTACATTCGTCGAGCAGCACCGTAGTGTTCTGCGCAACAGTAAACAGAACAGCATGCAGATGTCGCCCTCCCGTTGTTGTTCTGACTGCTGTCCTTTTGATGTTGGCTTAGCCGCCCATAGCATTGCATAGTATTGTATTGCATGTCAAAGCCCAGGGTGCCGTGTCTGCGCATACCATGTAATGCAGCAGCATCGTTTCCCATTGGGGAAAAATCATTTGATATGGATCAGCGCATTATCCCATATTACCATCGAATTTCACAGCACAGCATGGCATGGCATGCAATGCGCACTGTCGAGCATACCATGTTATTGCATTGCATACTGCATCGTGGCATTGCGCTTTATAGTGTAGCATGGTGCATCATGGAATTCCATAGCATAGTGCAACATGGCGCTGTAGCGCTGCATTTTTCCTGGCCCATAGCTTGGCGACAGATCACTGGTCGACCAGTCGATGAGAGCGGAGGAGGAGGAATGAGGAAGAGGCAGGAGGAAACAGGTAATGCTGACATCATTATTCATGACCGCCTTGCTGTCTCAATTCACTCAGAAATCGACCAGCTTGACCCTAAGCGCGCGCGAAGCGCGCGCGATGATTCTAGTTGGTCATCTGGGGCGCCTCGTGGCTGCCGCCGCCCCCCGGGCCTGCGCCGACGACCTGGCCTCGGTCTCGCAGCAACTATTCCGCGACCTCTCCGCGCTGGCTGGCCCCTTCCATGAGTGCGCCCGCGTCTCGCGCGTGGAGTTAAGCAGGGGCAAGACGGTGGCGGTTCCTCTCTGGCTGGCCGACCCAGCCGGGCTGCGGTCCCAAATCGCGGCGTTGGCGCCGCGTTTTGAGGGCAATGAAGATCGAGCGCGCCGCCGAGTATCTCGGCTTCACCCCAGGCCCCGACAGCAAGGGGCGCTCACGGCAGAAACCGCTCGCGAAGTTCGACGGCGCGCCGCCCTCTTGGGCAAGGTTGGCCGCTGGTTCCAGCTCGAGGTGCTGGCGGCCCGCATCTACCACTTCTCGGCGCTCGGGTTCGTGGCCCAGCTGCCCCTGGCCCCCGAGCTATGTCCATCCACGAGCTCGCTGCGGTCGAGATCCGGGGGCCCCGCGGATGGTCATCAGCTTCGGTCCTTCGTAACCCTGGGCCCATCGGTTTCTCCGGTTGCTTCCCCGATCTGGAGCCATTTTCCCTGGCGGCCCGGTGCCGGGCGGCAATTTGCGAGTCGTTCAACGAAGGTGGCCGCCTTCATGTCCGATCCCAGGCGACGCTACTCCAGCTAGAGATATCGCAATGCGAGTTCGCGTGCCGCCGGGCCCTGTGGGATAAGTGGTTTGACGACGCCTTTGTCCTTCACCTTGATGAGCTGGCGGCAGACATGTTTGCTCGGGGAAGGAGTTGGCAATGCGCACGTCGATTAAGTAAGCTTGCGAATGAGGCTTATAGTTGTTGTGTGCGTGAGCCACTTTAGTTGAAGCCAGAGTGGAACCGCGAAGCAACTTGCTGATGAACAAATTTGCAAGCACCAAGGCCAGAGACAGCGCAGAGGCGCAGTAGTTTTCATAGCGAAGGGTTCTGCTTTGGAGACCAAATGGCCAAGTCCTTTAGACGAGTCTCTTGGGGTCGTACCCTTGTGATGCAATGTGATTCTGACACTTCACTCAGTCATATGCTTGCCAGCGCAGTCCCGAAACAGTAAATGTTTGAACATTGGAGGTGGCGCATATGTTGTGTAAGGTATGTCTTGCAAACAATGCTGTGTAAGCTTCGCGGGGTGAGCTATGCGAAGCACGCGATGTGGTGTAGGCAAGATAGTGTAAGCCATGTGGTGTGATCCATACTCTATATGGTGTGAGCATTATTGTGGAAGCTGTGCGGTGGAAGCTATGATGTGTACGTGTTGTGGCGTGAGCTATACTACGCGAACTATGATTACTAGTATGCGTGCTGTGAGCGACGTTGTGAACATAACTACGCAATGCAAGCGATGTGCTGTAAGCTATGCATGGTGTAAGCGATGCTGCTAAAGCTCTGTTGTCGGGGCTATGTGGTGTGCGCTATGCGTTACAACCCATTGTGGTGCAAGATATGCGGTGTAAGCCATGTGGTGTACAGTATGTGGTGTAAGCGCACGGGGCGCCCCCCCCCCCCACGAGCGGGCACGGGCGCCACCGAGGCGAACCCTCGGGAAACACAGGCGATACCTCGAGAAACCCACCGAACGGACGGGGCGCCGACGAGGCGCCCACGAGCGGGCACAGGCGCAAACGCGGCGGATCCTAGGGTAACCCACCCAGCGCACGGAGCGCCCACGAGGCGCCTACGAGCGGGCACGGGCGCCAGCGTGGCGAACATTTGCAACCCCTTTCAACCACCTCGGAACGCCAAGCAGAAAGCCCGAAGTGCAAGCACTGTTGGGATAATGCGTTGGGACCCCAGCAAAGCGAGGTCCAGGTATGCTGTTGGAAGCAGTGTTCTGCAAGGCGGCCATCTCTTCACACTCGTCCTTCCCCAAGAGAAAGCGGACGATCATGATCTTTTGATGTGGTTTGTTGCCATCGGTTTCCAGAAGGCCTTCTATTCGGGCGAGCTCGAGTCACAGGTTCACGCGAAATGCATTGTGGAAGCATGGCGTACCATTTACGGTCAGGAGCGTTTGCTTCGCGTGTCGGGCCGCCAGTTTTGGCCCATCACGCTTCGGCGCGACACGTTAACCACGTCCCAGTCCCCAAGCATTCCCGTCCCGAGTTGTTCCCAGCCTCGCTTGCAGGGCATAGCGTGTCTCAGCGGCCGTCGCCGCGACACGCTGAGCAGCACATCCTGACGGTAAATATTTCATTACTAGTAGAAGATGCACGCGGGCCAAAACGATCGGGTGCTGGTCGATGCGCGCAGCCGCTCGCTTTTATATTCCCAGGCGTCCGATAGTGTGACGTCTTGAGCGTTCTGGTGTTCAATGCCGTCCTCTATGACGTCACGTGGCATGTGGCACAAGCGTCAGTCTGCAAGTTAACGGCGTTTTCCCCGAAAGTGTTGAATCCCATTCGGCTTTCCCACCCCCGTCCTCGTCCTCCTCTACCTACACCCCCCTTCCCACCCTCCACATTCCACCCATGCTCCCTTTATCCCTTGTCCCTTCCTCTACTGTCCACTTCTTCCCCCCCCTTCCCCCCTTCATCCTCTTCCCCTCCACTTCTTCTCAGACATGAGAACTCTCTGTGTAGTTCGGATCATACCTCTGGGTGCCCATGTCCACGGGGCGACTCGAAGAAATATGAAATACATGAGCAAGTTGCTGGTGTTGCATCCAGGGGGGGGGGGAAAGGGGGAGGCACCCGGTAACATCACGATTGACCCCCACGCCCGCGGCGTCGGGGAGTGGAGCGGCTCCAGGGACGACGACAACGACCGACGTCGTCTGGAGGCCTCCAGGGGTCCCCAGAGGTCTCTCCGGAGGCCACCAGGCCTCCGCAGGCGCGAATCGTGACGCTACCTTGGGGTGGGGCGGCGGTGGCCCGGTAATGGGCGTTGTCGCGACTCGCTCGGAAGCGAACTCCGTTTTCCTGACACTTTGGCCACCAGCCTGTCTGGATCACCTCAGGCATACACGATTTTTCTTATGATGTTCGTTAGGCTGCTGATGAAGTCCACCCTTCATTTTCCTTCCCCCCACCTCCTTCTCCTCCCCTCTCCCTCCAATCTCCATAGCACCCTCTTCTTACATTCCCAGAGCGAGGCTTCGTGCCGCCGAGGGCGCCGCCAGGGCTGGAGGCGATGCCGACATGGCCTGGACAGCCGCCCCCTATGCTTCGCGCGGACGGCGAGGGAGCTAGTTTACCAGGGGTGGGAGGAGGGGGGATCGGAAGGAGGTGGGCGGTGGGAGGGGGGAATGGCGGCGATAGGGAGGAAGCGGAAGCAGGTATGAGAAGGGGGATGGGGGATGGGGGGGGTAAGGGGAGGGAGAGGAAGACAAGGAGGACGAGTGGGAGGAAGCAGCGAGGACGTGGACGGGGAGGCGGGATTCGATGCACGTGGTGTGCGTATGTATGTGTGTTCTGTCCAGCCAAAGTATGTTCACCTTGTCTTTGACATGACATCTGGCTTTGGTGTCAGATTCGAGTTTATGCTGCTGACTAGCAGCATCTGTTCAGACTAGGTGGCGAAAATGAAATGGCCCCCGCTTCCTCCTGGCACAAAGGGGGGAGGTAACAGTTTCACTGTCACGAGCACGGTGTGTTCACGGTTTTCCCCTTCGCATCAGATTGGGGTTCGCATGAATCTGTAAACCGAGGCGCGATACCATGTGTGGTTCGAAAATCAATTGCGCCGGCGCGCCTCTCCGCCACCTCTTTGCGGGGTGTGTATTAGGGACGTGGGGCTGGGGGCATTTCCCAATCGGTGAGTGTTCGGGGTATGGCCCCGACGCGCGTGTGGCCGAACTGTTAAGCCCGTCTCAGGGCACTCTTTCAGGTCGTCTTGGGGATTTCCCGGGGCCGTCTTGGGTTCACTCAGGGCTACATCAAGGGCGCTTGTGGCCATCTGGGCGTCCACTGGTGGGTCCAGGAGGCATGTTTGGCAGGTATTGGGCTCATTTGGGAATGCACCGAGGCCATGTTGAGGCAGTCTTGTGCCGTCTGGAAGCCGTCTTGGACCACAACCCAGGGTCCTCGGGAGCCTTCGTGTAGCCATCTTCGGGCAGTTTGTGCGCCTTGGCAGAACTATCGTGGAACATCTTGTGGTCTCTTTGGGTCATCTTAGACCACTCTTGGGGACCTTATGAGTCATCTTTGTTGCGTCGGGGAGCAACTCCACAGCAGCAGTCAGCATTCAGACTCGCACTTTACGCCGCAGGCGCCGTGGCGGATTTGGCGTCTTTCAGCTTGAACTTGTGGTATCAAGCCAAGTGGAATGTGATGTTTGAGAGAGTTTTCTTGTGCCTGAGACCCTGTGAGGCTTGGCTCACATTACGAGCCTTTCGCAATGTCAAAGAGGCAGCGACGTCGCATACCCAGGTACCTGCATGGGCGGGTTGCGAATTCATATAGGACTCGTGCCACATCACTTGTATGTCGTGGGTCTCGCCGTTGGTCGGTCTCACTGGCGTCGGCGTCGGCAGTCTGCTCGTTGGTCAGATGGCCGCGTCGCACGCTGTGTCCTCCCGCTTGCTTGCCAGTCAGTGTGGTTGGTATACTGTTCTCCACAGGGTGCTTGCGCAAAGTGGGCGTTACTCGCGTTCCAAAGCAATTGGGTGGCCTCGTGGGCGCTTCGTGCGCTGGCTGGGCCAAGGCTTAGCGGCCCTAGCGTAGTGGTCAAAAGGTGGCTCTACCCACCCAGCCCTAATATGTACAGATGTGTCCTGCAGGATGAGGTACCTCCTTGCTTGGTGCGCTGGGTGCAATTTCGCAGTGCGGCCAGAGTTATCATGTGGGGCTGCTCGCAGCCGGGGTCCGAATCGGGTACTCCAGGCAAAAAGGTAGTGCAGCGCAAGAGCCTAATGAGGTAAGGGTCTGAAGCCTCCTGGGCACGTTCCTTAACGAACGCCCCCCCCCCCACCGTAGAGCATCTGCAATCTTTGTGTTTCGGACAGATGTGTGCTCGGCATGTGTTGGCTCGAGCTCTCATCTAACATGCCACCGATTTCTGAACAGCGCGGTGTTCTAGACAGCACGCATCTAGAGTTCGAATGCACATGTCGCGGGGTGAGCTTCACTTGTGTTTCACTTGTATCGCCTCCAGGCAGGATGCTAACAAGAGTACCTCGCGCAGTAAGAAGACGAGCTTCCAATTCAAATTGTGGACATGTAGCGTACATGTGTTGCCAATCCGATGTTTAAGATAGGCCGCGCGGCGATGCTGTAGTGCGGGGGTTTCTTCAGCAATTGAAATCACACATCTAACGTCCGAGATGGAACAGTGGGGTCAAGTCGAGTGCAGTCGTCCATCGGGCAGGACACTTCGAATTCTAATCGATCGATTTAGGTAAATTCCTGTGCAAGGCTTACTTTCGGTGGCGCGGCGGCTCCGTGCTCCGCCATGCGAGCTAGAGCAAATCTAGAAGGCACCTGTCAAAGCACATCATTTTCGGCCAACGGATTCCGCTGGGCTGGAGTGAGAACGTATCCGCGTCATATCAACGTGTGTTCAGCTCATCTCCAAATCGCCCATTCCTCTCCCACCCCCCAATTCCCTTCCCCGCGTCGCCTCACCCCATCCCCCCGTTCAGAGGATACCGCGTACCACGTTCTCCTGGTGGATATGCCAGACAACCTTCGTCGGGAACTTCTTCTCCGTGGAAGGACACCTCCCACGCGAAGGTGCTGCGCTTGGACAACATGCTGTAGCGGCGTCATGCTTTTTTTTATCTGGTGTGCATTTTCTCTCCACTCCCGTCCTCCCCATTACTCATAAAATTTCGTTATCCAGATCCTCCTCTTCCTCTTCCTCCTCCCTCCTCACCCCCTCCTCATCGGCCTCCTGCCAATGCATCGTGGCCATGTTGCCGTCCACAAGCCCTGTACGCGCCGTGTCGAAGCGAACTCGGGATTGGCAATGTCAAGCCTGTAGCATGTGAAGCATCGCGCACGTAGACCCCAGAGGCTGGGCAGACGGGGGGAGGGACGGCGGATGGGGTGGACAGGAGAGGAGGAGGAGGGGGGAGGAGGAGGAGGAGGAGGACCAGGAGGAGGAGGAGGAGGAGGAGGGTGGCTCAGGTCCATCCCATGTTTGCTGCCCGATGTGCTGGCAACGACAGAGTAATCGTCGCCGGTCCCAAGGAAGGTCTTGCTTGCCTTTAGCTTGTTGGCGTTCAGCCATTATTTTAGCTTGCTACTTCCAGGAGGCACAACGCCTTTTAGTTCCTTTAACTTCCGCAACTTGCAAATCACGCCCTCACCCCTCCAAGTGACGATTGCCGTCAACACAACATAGTTGCTGCTTCCACCGCTCAGTCATCTGCCTGAGCTCGTTCCCAATTTCTTCTTCTCAGTCACACTGTTCTCAGCATGGGGTGCATGTAGCACCATCACACCACCACCACCATCACTGAGCCAAGCATCCGGAAGGACGCGTGGGCAGACGAGCGCACGATTGGCGACTCTTGGGGTAACTAGAAAAACGTGACGAGAAGACGGAGCGCCTCACGACTGTGAGGCAGAAACATGGAGCGCCCGACTGTGAGGCAGAGACGAGCAGCGAAGCGGAGGAGGAGAGGAAGGGAGCAAGAGCAAGAGGCGGCGGAGGAAGGGGGCAAGAGGCGCCCGACTGTGAAGCATGGCAGGGCTGGCAGCCATTCTACGCAATCACGGGTGCTGGGTCAGTTTGTGCTTTTCTTGTGCCCATTGTTGTCTAGGTCGTCCGCGCCGCCGGCGTTCCACCCAGGTCTTCGGGGTGCCGTCTTGATGACATACGAGTTGCTTTACCAAAGAAGTAGATTGACTTGACACTATCTTGTCGTACAAGTTGATATGCCTATCAAGTAACTGCTGGGATAGAGGTTTGGCGTGGGCCTGGTTCAGAACGTCCGCGTTGGTAACGCGAGATATGTAGGAATGTGGTATACCCAAAAGCCTCCGTAGACACCGGCAGTGAAAAGCATCCAGCCTATGTCTGTCTGCACTCAATAACCAAGCGAATAAAATAATTTGCCCAACACGCAGCTCTCGTATACTTTGTACTTGTTTTTTTCAGCCAACACATGTATGACCCCATATCTTCGCCAATTGCTTGAATATGCGCTGTGTTTCCCCCAATCTTCTCGTCAATTCGGGGCTTGCTCTTGCATCACATGTAATCATTCCTCCGAAGTAGATCGCTTCCCGGACTGTTGCAATTGGACCTCCGTCTGGGCGCTCGACAGTACAGTTTGTGTAAATCTGCATATGTAGCGTTTTGCTCCAGTTGAGCTCGAGGCCATACTTGCGACCTTCAGCGACGATGGTGTTGATCATGTTTTGCATATTCTGCTTGCTCCGTGAGGTCAAGAGTGTGTCGTCCGCGTACAGCACGTCGCGGGTCACCACGTAGGCGGGCTCCGCCTCGAAGTCGATGACGTCGAACAGCATGACAGTCTGGACTGCGATAAACAAGTAAGGCGATAGAGGGCACCCTTGTGCAATACCTGCATTTTGTCGTCTCTCCGTGGATTTGCCCGTGTGGTCGACTATTGTGAAAAACCTGGCAGCGTAAATTGCATCAACCATGCAAACCATGTCTGCTGGTATGCCAAAGCGCCGCAATGCATCGCTCATGCTGTCGGGTTTGAGTCGGTCAAACGCTTTCGCCCAGTCCAATATGATCAACAGAAGACCATCGCTTTTATTGGAGAGCGAGGCGTCGATCATCCGTCTGACAAGCATGAGGGCATCTGCGGTCCCACGCCCCGGGCGAGATCCGAATTGCGAGCCGCGCATGCGGGATTCAGCACCTCCAGAAACCAACCTTTGATGGAGCAAGGATGCCAAAATGTTATACCCCACTTGTAGTAAAGAGATTGGTCTGCAATTTTCGGGCAATGCGGTATCTCCCTCTTTGAACAACAATATGACATGTTCCCGCCTCCATGACGTAGGCATTGACTTTTGCTCCCAACAGTTCTGGCCTAAGCGAAGTAGCAGTGCGCGCGCATCCCGATCAGACTCCAGACATTTCCAAACATCTGGAGGGATACCATCGGGTCCAGCAGATTTCCCTTGTCGAAGCTTCGTAAAACAACAGAGATCTCGTTCATGCTGAACGCGCCCGTGTTGATCGGCAGCACATCGCCTATGCGCGCACGCGGCTCCAGAGCCTCACCCGGGAAGCGGGTTTGCCACTGCACATCTTCAAAGTAGTCGGCCAGGACGTTCGCGCGATCTAGTGTGTCCGCAAGGATCCCATCAGGGCGCTTGATGGTCGCATGTTGTACCGTCCTGGGTCTTCTCAGGTGTCGTGCAGCTTCCCATCCCCGATCTCGTACTAACAGGTCCAACCAATCTCTCTTGTCTTTTGCCCCGGCCTTCCGAATCAGCGTGTGCAGCTGCTTTTCTCTTGCGTGGTCACTGTGTAAGCGAGCCGCTTGCGCTGCTCGATGAGATCGAGAGTATTTTGGCTTATCCAAGGCTGTCTAGCTACGACGGCTCGCTTTGGAAAGATTTCGGAGCCCTTTTCGAAACCATGCTTAACCCAACTGTCTGCCAGCTCCAAAGAACCGCTTGCGTCTTCCAAAGAACTCCCAACTGCGCCAACAACTGCTGCAATGAAGTCGTTCTGAATGCTTGGAATGTTCAGGCTAGCTGCGTCTATAAATGTCTTCTGCGGCGGGTCCTTCACGCAAAATTCCAAATTCGAGTCCAACAACATAAGGAAATTATGTGTGTGAAGTACATCTCGACGGCTGTTCCTGATATCTTTGATCGTATGTTGGACGGTCCGGAGGCAAAGAAAATTGTCGATTTGAGCGAATTTCTTCCCGGTGATTTCGCTGTCCATCGGGTCGGTGCCGAGCTCTCTGTAGGTCATTTTGTGGTCCGCCGGATGGTCGAAGAACGTATTGGCCACCGCCATCTCGCACGAGATACAAGATTCCATGAACAATTGCCTATCGGAAAGTGCATCTGGAGTTTGATCGTTTTGGGCACTCCCGCTCTTAGCACGTAGGCTTTCGAACACATGCGGACCAATAATGTGATGTTCCCCAGCTCGTACTCGTAATAACCTCGCGTTGAAGTCGCCAAGGATGTAGGTGGTGCTGTGAGCCGTGGTCTTCCGTATATGTGCTTGGAGGTCAGCGCAGAAGGAGTTGCGGATTTCATCCGGGCGGCCATTATGAGGGGCATAGACGCTCAACATCGTAAGAATTCCGCCTTTACCTTCGATGCGTAAGGAAGCGATCCTGGAGCTACATGCCTTGAACGCCACAATGCTTCCCAGCATCCTCGGGGCAACCAGGAAACCCACGCCTGCGTGTATACGCACTTCCAGGTCCAACTCGCCTGACAGAAAAATCATGTAGCCATTCTGTGCAAAATATTCGGCACCATGGAGGAGTGCCTCTTGAACACATAATATATCAATGCTGCGCGTGTTCATGAAATGTCGGTCAGTTCTTCAATCTTGATGTTGGAGCCCCCTCGCAGACCTTCGACATTCCACGTGCCGAGACAGCCAGGACAGCAAGGGGTACAGGCAGAACGGGGTCTACCCCAGGACAGCTGCTCAGAACAAGCTTGATCACGTCGCCCTCCATTGCTTTGTCCGTGCGAATGTCCGGCAGGAGGAGACAGTGGCACGGAAGTTGAGACGACCGCGGGCCGCTGTACGACGGTATCTTTGCCCAAATTCGTACTGGCGGTGGAGGTATCTTTGCCCACAATTGCGGCACACGTAAGTACATAACGGTTTTTTTGGCCGGCTCCGGAGCCCCCAGAATCTGGCCGTATTTCCTATTGGCCTTTAGATTTGCCTTTTGCCGAACCTTTCATTCCCTCGGTAGCTCGCTCCAGGAGTGTCGTGTTTTTGCTAATGAGTTCGATGAGTTTGGGATGCTGTTGTAATTCCTCCCATGCTTGCCATTCTGTGCCCCATTCCAACACAAGCTGAGATTCATGCACCGACACAGATACTGCGATTTCCCCTCCCACAACAACTTGGAAGGGGAACTCATCAGTTGTGACCTGTATCCTCCACGTGTTGTGCAAGTCGTTTTTGATAATGTATTTCGTATTTCAATTCAAGGCACATGTTCCGAGCCGTACGGGAAGACGGAGGCTTATCTGGTGCTACCCAAGTTGCTGTCCCTCCGTGGTTGGGACTCGCACTCCGTAAAATACCAACCGCCAAGTCTCGATCGGTTTCGCTAGCGAATAACACGAAGAGGATGTCTTGGAAGTCGCCTTTGGAGTATACGTCAATAGCCGCAGGCGCGGACAACCAAGAGAGTGTGTCATTGACCCACGAGGTGGCTGCTGACAGAGAATCAAACCCAACCAACTTCCCAATGACTGCTGTGAGATCCCGTTTTGCTTCCCCTGCAATACTATATGACTTCCCATGTTGTTTTTTTGCCAGACATCTTCAGCTTAGACACCTGGTCCTCGAGCGACTGGATGTGCTTCCAAATGTCATCGCTCCGGGGGGTGGCTGGGGCCTCGGACTGCTCAGCGGACTGATTCTCGAGGTTGGTGAGGCGGATAGCGATGTCCTCGATGTGCTCCTCCACCTCCTCGATCGTGGCGTTGATGGTCCTGCTCACCTCATTGAGGCGACGTTCGACAGTGTTGATCGTGTTTCGAATGGGTTGCTCCTCCCGGCGGATCACGCTTGCGATCTGCTCCAAGGTAGGTGGAAGTAGAGGTCGCCCATGCTGGTCCTGTTGTGCGGGATCCCCTGCATGTGGAAGTTCCTCTGGCCCAGATGTAGGAGTCGCAAGTGTGTGTACCTCCGGGCCGTCGTCGCCGCCATCCATTTCGTTGAGTGGGCTGAACAGACGCCTGCGCAAGATACTCTCCCGCCCAACTCCCATAGGCGTCCCTGGAGCCCGGGTATGTGCGCGAGGGGGGCGAGCTCCCGTCGGAGATGACATATGTGGTGCGACCGGTGTAATACGCGGAATGATAAGAAGAGGAGCAA